AGCTCCCCGTGCGAGTCGGAACAGCTAGGAAATAACTCCTGTTCTGATTGTGGATCTGAAGAAAGGAGCTGCCCCCAGGAAACAAGTGAGCACTGTGGGGCAAGGGTTGCTTCCCCACTGCTCGCCTGTGGGGGTGAGCCTTTGAGCTTCAGGTTTGAGACAGCTGCAGCAGATGAGCATGGACCTCTCTTCTCATCGGTGAGGCCAGAGGTTGAAGAAGTGGATGAGCTAGACACATCTTGGCCTGTTGAAGAGGGGATGCCCCAAGTGGTTGAAGATGTCCTTCCAGAAGAGGAGAATGTCGTTATGATTGATGAACCAGAGGAAATGCAGGCGGAAGACATCAGCACCCGGAACCTCAAAATTTTAACCCACAACGGCAAAATGTTGACTTTGGAGGATCTTGAAGATTACGTTCCAGGAGAAGGTGAGACCTACGGGTGCGACGATAAGAACCACAGAACAGACAGACCCTGCGAGATCTCCGTGCTCCAGACAGAGATCAGCGAGCCCACCATCGGAAAGCCAGTGCTGCTGAACCTGGGGAGACCCGTGGTGTCCGAGCCCAGGCAGACATTTTTCAGCACGTTGGAGGAGCACATTCCAGGAAGCGTGTTCGTCTCGACGTCTCGAGTGACTGGTGTGCAGTCCGTAGGCTCTTCCAACATCTCCATCCATGTGAGTGATGCCTGCATGGAGGTGAAGCCTGGGGTGCACGCGGCAGCTTCCTCTGCTCCCTCCTTCACCGTGAAACCATCTTTCTGCACTGAAGTCCAACTCTCGGCAGACAATGGGCAGTCAAGCTTTAAAACTGAAGTTTCCACGAGAACCCTCAGCTATGGGACAGTCGGTGAGCCCGTCACGTTGCACATCAGCACAGAAGACCTCTCCCAAAGCTGAGCAGAGACAAGCATAATTGTCATTGCAAGAGGAAGCAGTGTTGTAGAACAACAACAACAACAAAAAAACACCATCAGCAAATGATCACAATTTTTGTGGGTGAGGGGAATTGGTGAGAATGATAAAATGATGGCAAGGTAATGTGTACGAGGGAAAATCATTGAGTAAAATGTATTTAATTATGAGCTTTTCCAGTCTTAAAGGGAACACGTCTGTCAGATCAGTCTGTAATTGTAAAAGCTTTGATCGAGGTGAACATATATCATTCCATAGAGGAGCTGCGGGGGTAGGCTTGGAAAAAGCCTGATTCTCCTACCTGTGACACAGATACACGTGGATAAGTGCTTTTTTGTTCACGAACTTAAGAATTATTTCGAGTGCAAACCTGTGAATGATAGCATGGCAAGGAAGTGAAAGAATCGACGCTTTTCAGCATCCTCCAGCAGCAGCACGGGAGGACTGTTCCCTGCTAAAGCCATCTGTCACTGCGTGCACTCAAGGTTACAAAGCTCCACACTGCTTTGACTCTACACTTCTCTACACTTGAGGAAGCCAAAGGTTTCATTGCTCTCTTCCACCGTAAGAAAAACTACAAAAAAGGCCATTTTTAACAATGACTGCTATTTTCAAGTCCACTATAGGTGTAGGTTTATAAACCCTAGGGGGTTTATAAACCATATACTTTACAATATAGGTTCACTGAATGTGCAGCAGAAGATTAAAGAGCTGCACAAAATGACTTCTGCAACTGTAATCAAATGTTAATGCATACAAAGAACCACAAATGTGGTCTTTGTCAACATATGCTATTGGAAAAATGATCTGGTATATTTGATCTCCTACTTGTGCCAGTGGTGAAACTTTACTGTTAACAGATGAACGTCTCCTGATGCGCTAGAAAGAGTTCACCACGGATCTGCAGCAAAGTGACAGGAGCACCACAAAAAAAAAAAAAAAGAGGAAAAAAAGAACAAAACCAAAGAAAACCACAAGCAGATCTTTACCACAAATGCCTGGTTGAAAAATAAATTGTAATAAATTGGGCTGCTTGGCAGCACTGCCAGTTACAACTGCTTCGTGTTACTGAAGCAGTGTGTGTTGGATCACATTACACAGGTCGCCTTGCTGCTTTCTGATGAGTTTCTCTGCAGCTTTGCAGCCTGCTTGTGAGGCTCAGATGCACTGGGCATGGCCCATTCCTGTTGGCTTCGCTAAAGAGGATATAGCACAGAGAGCTTCAACACATTGCTCAGCCTTGGAAAGAAATTATCTGAAAGGCCCAAACAGTGGTCCTGGTTGAAGTCAACTGGAATTCCTCATTGATCTCAGTAGGACCAAGCACTGGCCCTCTCTATCCAATGGAGTTGTGGGGTGAGGAGTCCCGATACCTTATCCCTACTGAGCTGTGTGGCCATGCTGCAGTAGGAAATGTTTTCATGTAGATGGAACAAATGAAATGCTCTCAGATGCAGCTTCTAGCTGGCATGAATAGAGAGGATGAGTGAGTTATTGCCTTGGAAACGTTGGTGTGTGATGCTCTGTCTCAGTGTTTCCCAACTAGGTGATATTGTGAAGCTTGTTCTGAAGTCCAGGCAATATTCCTGCAAACAGGGTCTGAATTTACAAGAGGTGCTTGTAGAAAAGACTACATTTTTTTCTTCTGTGGCTGAACCTTGATCATATGGTGACAAAAATGAATGCATTTCTCAGCCTTTTGCTTTTCAAGATCCATCAGGATATCTTGTGTAATACCATGTGCACTGCCCTCGAGATAGGGGGCACTTTCCTAGTGATCACATGCGGTGAGAGAAATGAGACCTCTTTTGTGTTGCTCTCCTGTTTTTGATAAGAGCTCCTTGGTTTATACTGCTTGTTTTATGAGTAAGCAATGTAATCTGTGCTTCGTTCATCTACTGCCCTCTGCATTGGAAAGCAATAAACAATACATCAGGGAAATCCTTCTGAAAATGAAAACGTTTTTGAATCAGGCCTGGTTCTGATCTCAGCTCTTCAGGTGTCTATCCAGAATAACTCCATAAACAGTGGATTTCTTTTGGATTACGGTTGGACAGGGTGATTTTCGAGGTCTTTTCCAACCTCTATGATTTACACAGGCACTGCTGAGAAAGGAATTTGCTCTGCCTTTAAAGCATACTCTCACCCATAAGATAGTAAAGAACTGTGAAGAGATGTGGAGGTTCAATCTGATGTGGTTGATGCTCAGGTATATATTTTTTTTTAAAGAAGCTGGAAAACTGCAGTTCCGTTGGTCTTAGAAAATATATATATATTCATTAGCTCAAAGCAATTAACATCTGCTTACACTTTCATTTGAAATCTAAGCAAAAGAAAAGCAATCAAAACGAATGTCTGAAATCTGTTGCGGAGCCCTGTTCACAAAATGAAAGGTGTCTGAGCAGTCTGCTACACACACGTTCAACATATTTTCCTAGAGATTAAAAATGATGCTTGTAAGTGATTAAACTGTGTAGATAACTAATGAGACGTGTGGGGGTTTATTTCTTGTAGATGAAAACATGCAGCTGTTTAAAAAATAATAATAATACAAGAAATGTTTTGCCGTAATTCCTGCAGGTAAATGGGTATTAATAAAGTGGAAACTTCAGTTTGCTTGAGATTAAAAAAAAAACAACAAAAACAACAAATGCAAGATGCACTGTTAGATGCTGAGTTGATATCAATAAATGCCTTGCATCAGCTGTCTCTAAACTTGCTGGGTTTCTGTGTTCTTCTCTGTTCTCTGCACCTGATACTCCATCATCTCATCAGCTTCTCCCCTCAACTTAAGCAGGAGCAGATCTGCAGCCCAAGGACAGCAACGCATTCAGGTTCTGGCTGCCATTTTTATAGACAGTTCCAGAAGAGTTCAAATGGAAGAACCTCTTTTGATGGACGCTTCCCGTTCAGCTGTAGGAGCAAATAATTTTGAACAGTTTTTGCCTACTTGGATCCCCTGAGGCTGATTTGGAGGCTGAAAATCCACGAGGTTCTTGTGGTTTTGGTTATTGGCTGAAGGAGATGTGAGGTGGAAAGGTTCATGGTCACCATTTTGGAACTGGTAAAACAGGCTGTGCGTTGCAGACATCATTACAGGGTTAACCTGATGTACCACAGCTAGTCTTCATGCTCCTTGGGTCAGCAGCTTGGATTATAGCACATAGCATCACTAAACAGGGAAGAAAGCAGTACCATAGCAACACAGAGGAGAAGAATCCCACGTTGTCTTATGGACCAGGAGTGTTTGAGAATCTCTTGCCTCAGTAGTCTGTAACAAGCTTACAACCACATTTGACCACAATGCCACAAATCCAAGTTAAACAGAGTTGTATTTTCTCCTTGATAGGCAGTAAGGGTGTTTCATGCCTTTCCAAAGAGCTCTTTTGTTGGCAGCTGCCCAGCTGGTAAGGCAGCACAATTGGAACTCCAGGAAATCCAAGTCTTTAAAGATCTTTCCACCCAGCCCATGACTAATGGACACCAATGGGGCAGTCTGGGGCACGTGGTGTGAGCAAAAGTTGCTTTTCCCATCAACAGCACCAGAACAGAAATACTCCATCACCATGGAGGGGACGCTGAAAACAAAACAAAATCTAGATGCCCTGGAGGCATTCAAGGCCAGGTTGGATGGGGCCCTGGACAGGCTGATCTACTGGTTGGCAACCCTGCCCATGGCAGGAGGATTGCAACTAGATGATCTCCAGCCATCTGATGATAATATGTCTAGCAAGGGGGCTGACTCAAGCAAGTTTTCCTGCTAAGCTCTATCAAGGGAATTTACTTTCTCAAGGCTGAGAAAGAAGCAGAATTGAAACAGAGCTGCAGGGCATGCTGTATGTGAATGGCATGAATTGAGTCAGAAGCATCTGTGTGCAAGTACTCTTACTTTTTTTTTCCAGCAAGCTCCCAGTTGCTCTCCCTGCATCTTGGTCCACAGGCTTGCAGATCTGTGCCCACTGGCACTTACACAACACCACACATAAGGCTGCTGCCTACTGGGAATCAGTTCATAGTATGGCTGGGAGTCATTTTTTTCTGCTCCAAGAATATAGTCGGATTTATTTTTAATTTTATTCGTGGAAAACACATTTTCATACACATGGGAAGTATGTTTAAAATAATAAAGGCTTGGGCAACCAGAAGGGGTGTCTAAAGCAGAGCTTTTTATCACGGACTGCATGTTTATTCAAGTTTGTACTCTTTGTGACTATGATGAATAGCTGTAATCTGATATGGGTTTTGTCTGTCTTTGATGAGTGTTTTAGCATCCTTAGATATCTCCTGCCCCTTTGTTGTGCCTCATCAAGATTTGTTTAAGGAGTGCTGGGCAGGAGGTTGGATCAGATCAGCTCCTGAGGTCCTTCCCCATCTGATTCACCCAATATCCCCACCTTGGCCTATGCTCTGTTCTGCTGACTGGGGATGTCTGTGCTGTTTGTCTCCTGGGTGTCTGTCCTGCAGCGATGTGCTCGAGAATCTATTTTTGTCTGGAAAGCTTTGTCATCTCTCTTCCTTCAAAGCTGTCATTTCTTGAGGCAGAAATTACATCTTCCTCTACAACGCTTCTCTGTCACTGTCATTTTGCAGTACTGTATACACAAGTGACCTTGCCTTTAGAGCTGGCTTGCAAAAGCACCATCAGGTGCAAATTTAAAAGGTGTCATGCAAACCTGCATACCACAAAGTAGGACAAAAACGTTCTCCTGCAAGCTTCAAGGAGCTTCAGGGCCTTCTGTGCCATCCTTCCTTGCAGGCTCAGGAAGCAGCAACCCTTCTTCAAGGGGCAGTGGTGAGTCTGGTAAGCGCTCACTCCCCCTTCCCAGAGATAATAACCTCCTCCTTGCACCCAGCCTCTCTGTGAGTGCAGTGCATCACCACTGGCTTTGTTTCACTGACCCCAGTGGAAGTATATCTGCCCAACCAGACAACGTAGGGTTGAGCCAGGAAACAAATCCCTCTTTCCACAGTCTGGGAGTGTCCTTGTCCTGGTGGGATGTGTCTGTCAAAGTCTGTGTGCCTGTCTCCTTGTTGTGAGCTCTAGGAGAAGGGGAGGGACGCGAAGACAGATGTTCCATCTGACTGCAATGGGTTGCATGCTGCCACTGTTTTCTTTTTGCACCAAAGAGAGAAATGCAGTTCTTCTTGTCTGTAGGAAAACCATCTCCACAGTCAGAGCTGGAGACCTCCGTCCAGGCCTCCCTTCGGCGTGCTGATAAGGAGATCAAGACAGCTCTGAAGAAGCTCGTGGACTCAGCATCACTGCTTGTGACTCTTCCCCCCGACACACCAGGAGGTGACCATGGAGCAGTTGGGCCTCTGCTGCTCCACGAAGTCAGCACCCAAACCCAGGCTGCTGGGGGGCAGGGTAGGTCTGGAATGAGACTGGAAGGCAGTGCATGGAAATTGATAGAGATAAAAAAAGTTGAACACAATTTCTTCCCCCCTCCCCACTCCCGCGGTTCTCTGCTTTATTGTTTTGAGCAGTAACAGGAAAGAGGACACGCAGAGACAGCAAACCATGGGGCTGTGGGATGGGGTTGGGTTGGGCACAGCTTTGGGGCAGAGCTTCCTGGAAACAGGAGCTTGAAGACTGTGTCTGAAGCAGAGTTTGGTTCATCAACTGCCCAAAGTGAAGAAGGAGAGAATTTTTTCCATATATGGACTTTTAACCTGTATTTTTTCCTTTGTTTCCTCCCTTTTTCCTTTTTCCCTTTTTTTCCCCTTTTCCTTTTTTCCTTGTTTCCCTTTTCCTTTTTTCCCCCAACTTCCTATTTTCCTTGTTTGCCTTTTTTCTCCCTTTTGCAATCCCAGAAGTAATTTGGTTTTGGATGTGCTGGGGTGGGGAAGGGCTATTGATTTTCATGTTATCTGCCAAAAGCAAGCAGGAAATTTGAAATCCCTTTACCAATTGCCAGAGAATGTACAGCATGTTGGGCACAAGTTCCCCTGCAGTTTCTCGGCCCTGGAGTTGAACAGACCCCTCAGCCATTTAACTGATTAATGCCAATGATGTGTGTCACAATGTCCTCAGGTTTCACATCTGTGTTGTTTTTAAAGCACGTGAGCAAGCTGCAGCCCTGCTGCTCTCCCTCCTGCTTCTGCCACAGCAATTTGTCCTTCTCTGTTTGTGTCAAGTCAGAGTATCTGGCCTCCACCAATGTAAACCTAAAAGGACAATGTCACGCAGCCCACAGCCCTCAAACTAAAGATGTGGTTTCAAAAAAAAAAAAAAGATATTTTTGGCCTAAAGCTGTAGGAGAATAGAAGCATTTCATGAACTCAGACCAAAAATAACTGCTTAAAAATGACAGGGCTTTAATTTTTATTTTTTCCTCCTTTTTCATGGGAAATCATGCATGCAAATTATCCTGTGGTGAAGAAGAATGACTCAAAAATCATCAGAAGTAAAATGTGAAATGGATTACATCTTTGGTCTCAACTGCAGAGAGAACAGAGTAGTGAAGGAGATGGTTCTGCAGTCCTTCCACTTGAGGCAACTAATTAAGTTATTAGTAGAGGCATTATTCTAACAAGATGATGACTTGACATTCATCTCGTTAATCACATTTGAGTGAAAAGAAGGCCAATATTTGGTAACCAGAAAGCCCAAACCCATTTCCCACCCAGATGGGATCTTTGACCCAATTTCCTTCTTGTTCCTGCTGACCACCTCTCCTACCTGTGTCTGCATGTGTTTCCCTGTAGAAAAACTTGTGCTGCCAGTCAGCTTTGTGTCCATTCAGCCTCCCTGCTGTTGTTCAAGGCCTTTGCTTTATATGGTTGTCTCAAAAGGGCTGAATTCTCCCCTTAGCTTCAATGATTGCACTCAGCTGAGGCTAGAAAAATTCTGTGCCGACACCAGGCAGACTAGAGATGGCTTCACAGGTTTGCTCTGGTTTTCAGATGTGCCCTCACAGCTGATGTGCCTAACTTTCCCTATTTCTGCTATCAGACAAAGCACAAGGGCAGATTCCAACTGAAGAACCAAGCGTACCAATGCCCAGCCTTGGTCTTTCCCATGAGGAGACATCTAAAGGAGCTGAAAGCACTCAGGAGCGCACTGTTCCCATTTCCAGGTAAACATACACTGTAATACACAGATTCTCCTCTGTAGGGAAGCTAGTGGAGACTTGAACTCATTCTTGTCTTCTGCACTGCACAAGAAGGATGCAAAATATTGGAGAGAAATGAACTCCACCGGATCAAAATTCTTTTTGTATTAATTTCAAGTAGATGTTGGTTAATCTGGTGGTTAAACTCATAGTTCAATGTAATCCTATAGCTCTGCAGTTGTGTGACTGGGTCTTTTTCTCTTGGGCTTCGTGAAAGAATACGACCGGCTGCGGGGACAGGAGACTGGTACAGGAGAGAAGGGGATGTGTTCTGGGACGTACACAGTGAAGTTTATATTGAGACCACAGAACGAACCCGTGTGTATAAGACTGAGGAGAAGACCCCAACAAGTAAGGAGGAGCCTTGTCTCTGTTTCTCAGGTCCTGTGATTATCACTGTCTTCCCTGTGGCTTTGTTTGAGATAATTCATCTCCTTCACCAGTAACTGTTTACTAAACAAAAAGTAACAAGCATGCAGGAGCCTAAAAGTAATGCCACCATAAAGAAACTCAAATATTTCACTGATATCTCTCGATTTGAAATTAAGCCAGTGTCACACCCTGGGTCTGGAAATCCCATTAGAGTCACTGAACCTACATCAGCACAGCATGAGCAAAGTCATGGTCCAGCAAAGCATTGTGTCTCACCAGGTCCTCCCTATATGCAAGTGACAATAGAGGATGTGCAGGTGGATGCTGGGGAGCGTGCCAAATTTCAGGCAGTCATCGAAGGGACCCCTCCACCTACTGTTCTGTGGTTTAAGGTAAGGGCAAATGTGTTCCTGGCTGAGGATGAGGAGCACAGAAAGGGCTGCAAAACAACGCTTCTATGGGGAAAGCCTTTTTGCTGTGTCATTCTACACCTGCTACACTGAATCTTATCTGTAGATGTGTTTGTTTTTGTTTTTGTTTTTAATTAACTGCAGTTCTCCCTGGATCCACCACACTTGAATTTTGCTTTGTGATGTTCCAGTGTCACTGGGGCTCCTTCCATAAGATCATTTTGGGTACATAAATAGGCAGGAAGGGAGGTTGGTGTCGGTCTGAGAGCCACCGAGGTGTATGCTGTCGTTTTTAGGGTCAGGAATGGGATTAAGAATGTTTACTCCAATTGTCAACATGACTTTCAGGCTCTGTATCTTTTTCATAGTTACTTGGTAAACAGTGCAAGGACAGTAAATAATGCAATAAAAAGTATGAGAAATCATTTGTCGTTTCCCAGAATACTGCTTTCCCCCTCAAATATTGCATCACTCCTAAATCAATCTGTATTAGATTTCATCTGATATCTTCCTGCCCAGTCAGGCAGGCTTGGCGTGCTGGAAAAGCCAAAGAATGAACCACATCCAGAGCTGGATCCCTCCCCAGCCCTCATTCTAATGTATAGGCTCTGAAATAGAAATGTTGTATAAGCAGAAAAACATTTAGCCATGGGTTCTTCTTCAGCAAGCATTTTGTTAGTGACTTCGGTAGATGGAAAAGTATGTATTGTAACTCTGCTCTTCTTTCTCATTTCTTGAAGAGAAGAAACATCTGTTTCCATCTTGGTTCTCCAATAACAAAAAGTGGTTCCATTCTTTCAGGGCACCACACTGCTGACAGACAGCGTTAGGCTCCATCAAGGGAAGGCAGGAACGACTTATTTCTTAATCCTGGACAACGTTGTCTCAGAAGATGGTGGTGTTTATACCTGTGTTGCCAAAAATGCAGGAGGGGAGGTTTTGTGCAAAGCAGAGCTTGTTGTACATGAAGGTAACACCGTTCTTTGAGCTGCGTGAGCTGCTTCAATAACCTCTGCAGTGTGTATTCATCTTCCTTTGGTGTCTGCCACGTGTTCCAGCTTAGCATCTGCATGATAGCAGTATGGCATTATCCTGTATAAAGGGAAATCTTCTAATGACCTGCAAAGAGCAAATGAGTTGGGCTTCTTTGTTTCTTTTATCTCTGCTTGAGACTATGTGATGAAGTGACACCATGGGCAGCAGAAATAAGCACGGCCATGCTGCAGTGTTCACGTTGGCAAGTTGTGTAATCCAACAGCTATACCAAACTCTGCAGAAGCTTAGAGGAGCCCTGCACATTTTCCTGCCTTTCGCTGTCCTGAAATAACTTTGCACACCATTGGCGATCTGAATATTAACCTTCATATTTTTCTTCCTTTCCAAAGCTAAGAAAGACCAAGCAGCAAAGAAAGTGGCCACCCGGAGAAAACTCCATTCCCTGTATGAGGTTAAGCAGGAGATTGGAAGGTAAATGGGTTTTCCAGCATCCAACATTTTCCAACATCCAGTTGCCCACCCGAGCTGCCAGCAGCAGGAACAAGAGGCAGAACCGTGAATAAATCCAAGTGGGAGATTGCCTTGATACAGGGGTGCTGGGAACTCTGTTCTGAAGTTTCTGATAGGCTGGGAGAGTGCATGGAGCCCACAGGTCACTCCAATTGATAAAGTGCTTGGGGGTTTTGAGGTCGCACTGAGTGACACGGCCTGTGGTGATCACAGACATGGGCTGATGGTTGGACTGGATGGCCCTAGTGGTCTTTCCAACCTTAATGATTCCATGAGTAGGTGCCCATGTATGGCTCTTGGGCAATACTAAGCTCAAAAGACCACAGCAGTGTAGGCACCAGCGCCGCGTTCATCCAAGGGATCTGAGAGCATCAGCCTTTGTCAGCACACATCTGGAAGAGGTTTTTCCTTCAACGGGAACTCGCTGCTTAGTTTTAGAGACAGCCAGGAGAGGGCAATAGCAGCTCACACACAGGGAAATCAGAGCTGTGTTGGAGAATGTAAGCCCTGAGCAGCAGGAGCCGTCAAGGCTGGGGCAGGGAAAGGTCCTCACCTGCTGAGCAAGAGCTTTGAAGTGGGGCTGAGCCGGGTTTGTCCTCTGATTCTGCCCAGGGGCTGCTTCAGCTTTGTGAAACGAGTTGTACACAAAGGGAACGGAGTGTCTTGTGCTGCCAAATTCATCCCTCTGCGAAGCAAAACGAAGGCTCGGGCGCATCAGGAGAGGGACATTCTGTCCTCTCTGTCCCACGACAGGATCACCAGGCTGCTGGATCAGTTTGAAACGCGGAAAACCCTGATTTTGATCTTGGAGTTGTATCCTTGTCTGTGTCTCCGAGGAGGCTGGAAAGTAATGAGCGGATGTCATTGCTTAAATAGCTGTGCTAATAAGCAATTTTTAGCTTTTGCTGAGATAGCAGAACACACCCAACCATTCCCCACAGCGCTCTGTGCGTCCTCACTGATTTACTGTGTTCTGCTATTGTAGGAAAAGCCTTGATACCTGCATGTGTGAGTGTGAATGAGCCGTTAAGCACCAAAGCTCTCTTCTGGAAGGGAAGGATTCTGTTCCCAATGAGATCTCATGAATTCTGGCCTCTCTTAGTTGAGACGAGGTGGCTACAAAGTAAAAATGTCGATTTAGCTTCTGGATGCTAGAAACCTCCTAAATAACAGAACCTGAGGCTCTCCAGGCAAGCAAGGCATTCACATGAACACCACTAATAAGAGCAGAACAGCTACTTTGTAGGTGAGAAGGGAAGATGAGGTGCTGGAACTTGGGAGAAGAGACAAGGCAGCACTGCAATCTGGAGACTCAAATCCCCAAACAAGTATTTGGTCTTTGTGTGCCCTTGGTTTTGAGGTGGCAGCTTTGCACTTGGAACAGCATGGGCTGTGTCGCTGGGAGATCAGCATGAGCAAGGCCAGCCTTGCCCTTCTGCGAAGCAGCCACGATCTCCAGAGCCTTGAATACGTTTCAAGAACTGTGGAGATGTGGCACTGAGGGATGTGGTCAGTGGGCATGGTGGGATGGGTTGGGGTTGGACGTGGGGATCTTAGAGGTCTTTTCCAACCTGAATGATTCTAGGAGTCTGTAACTGTGGTTCTGTTTTATCTTAACGCTGTTGTGAGATGCTCCAGTGAAGAGCTCCTCGACCGTTTATTCAAGAAGAGTGTGGTCACCGAAGCAGAGGTAACCTCCCCTTCTTATTTCAGTGTCCAAAGTCAGTGGGAACAACCTGATCCTTCAGCACAGAATAACATTCACCTGCATTTGCTATTTCCAATGTGAGAAATACCTCGAGTTACCTCGAGTACTGTGTCCAGTTTTGGGCCCCTCACTGCAAGAAAGATATTGAGGCCCTGGAACGTGTTCAAAGAAGGGCAACAAAGCTGGTGAGGGGTCTGGAACACAGGCCATATGAGGAGAGGCTGAAGGAGCTGGGAATGTTCAGCCTGGAGAAGAGGAGGCTCAGGGGAGACCTTATTGCTCTCTATAACTTCCTGAAGGGAGGTTGTAGTGAGCTGGGGGTCGGCCTCTGCTCTCGTGTCATTAGTGATAGGACCAGGGGGAATGGTTTCAAGCTACGGCAGAGGAGATTCAGGTTGGACATGAGGAAGTATTACTTTTCAGAAAGGGTGGTCAGGCACTGCAATGGATGCCCAGGGAGGTGGTGGAATCACCGACCCTGGGGGTGTTCAAGGAAAGACTGGATGTTGTGTTGAGGGACATGGTTTAGTGGGAGCTATTGGGAATAGGTGAACAGTTGGACTGGGTGATCTTTTAGGTCTTTTCCAACCTTAGTGATTCTATGATTCTATGATTCTAAATACACTTGAGTTAGCGATCATCTGTCTCACCATATCTTCACTGCCTTTGTCTCCTGAGAATTGTACACACACCCAACTCCCTTTCAGTCTCCAAGGATCTGAAATGAAATGATGCTTTCTCAGATAGTTTTTCTGATTGTTATTATCATGGTTTTTTAAATATTGGGTGCTCAAAGCTCAAAGGGTTTCACATCCCCCATCTAGAAGCCAGGTTTCCCCTATTTGTTGCTAAAAGCTGATTTTTCTTGGAAATGTTCAGAGGGAAATGCCAGTTAACACTTCAGTATTGAAAGGTTGAGGACTTCCAGAGTTGAAGGTGGCTGTAAATTTTCCGGCTCAATCTGTTCCTCCATCACATTAAAAGAAACAAAGAACCATTGGTGGAATCAGGGATCCTCTTTACCTAATATTAATATTCAGTGACTTAATGGCTGATTGCTACAAATTGTGTTGTTTTTTCTTTCAGGTGAAATTGTACGTAAAGCAAATTTTGGAAGGAATCAATTATCTTCATGACAACAACATCCTTCATTTGGACATTAAGGTAACGTGAAGTGGCAGGTCTTGTTTCCCATAGCCACCTGTTGGCTTAGGTATTTTCCATTCGAATTATTCTTATCTGCAACTGAAAATATTGCCTGATCTCAATAAAAGCTTCCTTACATTTTGTTTTATTTCATTTTCCAGCCTCTGAATATCCTCATGGTTTATCCCGAGAGGGAAGACCTTAAGATCTGTGACTTTGGGTTTGCTCAGAAGATCACACCCTTGGAGCCTCAGTTCAGTAAATATGGGTCTCCAGAATTCGTTGCCCCAGAAATCGTCTCTCATTCGCCGGTGTCGAAGGCAACAGATATCTGGTAACCTTTCTAAAAAGGTTTTCACAGATCACAGAATCACCCGGGTTGGAAGGGACCTCAAGGATCATGTAGTTCCAACCCCCCTGCCTAGCAGGGCCACCAAACATCCACATTCAGATCAGGTTGCCCAGAACCCCGTCCAACCTGGCCTTAAACACGTCCAAGGACGGGGCATCCACAACCTCCCTGGGCAGCCCGTTCCAGGGCCTAACCACTCTCCTAGTAAAGAACTTCCCCCTAACATCCAACCTAAATCTTCCCTCCTTCAACTTGGATCCATTTCCCCTAGTCCTGCTGTTGTCAGCCCTTTTGAAGAGTTTACTCCCCTCCTGGGTGTAGGTTCCCTTCAGGTATTGATAGGCTGCAATGTTGCAGCCTATTGCACTGAACAGCCTGAATTTGGGTCATCCGGGTTAAAATAAGTGTTTCCTTAGGAGCATGTAATGATGTTACTGTGTGTACATTCCCCCACAGGGCAATTTATTGCAGTTGCATCAAACCATTTTGCAGTTTTTGACACATGCTCAGTTCCTTTGGCTCTGCCAAAATGACAGTGTAGAACTATGGGGAGCCCACTGTGCAGAATGCTGTGCTGCTGAACAAACCTGGAGTGTCTGCTATGTAGCAACTGTACCAATGTACCAATTGCTTACACAAAGAGAGAATTAATGAGTGAATAATACCGTATGTGGGTAGAGATGGTGCGGTTAATAGAGGTGATTCCATGCAAGGAAAGGGAACAATAAGGGAAACTGAAAGTGAACACTGAGAATCCAAAACACACTGAGGCTATTTAAAGCTCCTTTTTCTTCTATTTTGGTCAACAGTAATTGATGCTTGGCAGCTAATTAATGTAAAAAAGCATCTCAAGGAAAGCGGTCTTTAATAAAATAGGTGGTAGCTCAAAAGCATGGCCCCAGGAGGCCCCCTAGAAAAGAAAAACAAACTCCACAGAAGTATTTTGAACCTTCTTCTTCACTTATGCTTTAAAAATGGAGGAATACTTGAGACCAGTTTTATAAAAACGCTGCAAGAAAGGAAAAGAAAACAACAAAAAACCAACAAAGGGTGAAAGCAAAAGCTTTGGGGATTTATGACCTTGGAAAAGGGGCAGTGTGCTTGAGGAGGGCAAAAAGGACAGGCATCTGACATTTTTGTTCCCTCTGTCCTCAGGGCTGTTGGAGTCATCACCTACTTAAGGTAAGAACACCTGCTTGGATGTCCTTGTTTGATGCCCTTTTGTGGGTCAGAGCCTTCCAGCTCCATCAAGTGTGGGCTCTGCAGGAGCGAAGCACTGAGATCTTCGGTGATTTGTTTTGTAACTCTCTTCATTGGCTGCTCTTTGTGTTGCCAAAGGTCTTTTGGTCCCTGTGTAAAGCCTTGAGCACTCAAGTCTTCCTCTTGCCCATTTTAGCGACCGTAGCCATCGACCTCACCTGTCAATCAGGGATAAATAATTCAGTTGGATATTGAAAAAATGGGGTGAAAGATGCTCTGTAGTGGATGCTCTGTTGGTGAGCACTGTTGGAGTCCCTCAAGCAATTGAAAGCTCCACGTAGATGTTTGTGCTTTGCTCATTTGAACAGCAAACACAGCTCTAAAGTCTGTCCCCTTCTATTTTACGGTGTTCAATAAACAAGCCTGACGTGCAAGTCTCCATTTGCTGGGGAAAATGACAGAGGAACACTTCTGAATATCCAGAAAGGAGAAGTTTCATGGACCGCTCCTGATTTTGTTCATCTGAGTGAAGATGCAAAAGATTTTATCAAGCGGATCCTGCAGCAGCAGCCCAAGTAAGTGCCTTTCAGTGCTTCCTAAAGGCAGCCCGCAGAGATGCCGTGATCTCAGGACCAGTGGTGAGCCTCAAAGCAGCCAGGAGGGTTGTTCCAGCTCAAGGGAAGGAAACCTGGGGCTGAACGCTGCTTTCTGCATGGCTTCTCAGCTCCAAAACATCAGTGAAAGACTAGACAGAAATGTGTCTGCACAGGGTGGGCACCTTCAGGAGCATCTCATGACCACTGTTTGAAGTGATTTGCTAACATGGTGTTCTTTTCTCTGATCAGGGACAGGCCTGGTGCTTTGGACTGCCTTTCCCACAGGTGGTTCATGGTAAGTTGGTCCTGGTTCCTTACTACAATCAATCTTTTTTTTTTTTGATTGGAAGAGACTCTTAGAGCAACTCTTAAGGCTATTTGAGAGCTGTTTGCTGTTTTATTCCTTCCCTCGGTCTCCCACTTTCTGTCCTACACAGAAGTGCTGGTTTGGCTCTCCAGAAAGAGGAGGCACATTGGTGCTGATTGTCAGGATATCCTCCCCTTCCAAAGATTACTACCAACATGAGTAAATACAGCATCTCCATATAGAGAAGAAGCTGTGGCTTTGCAGAAGGAGGTTATGTTTTACATCCCAGTGGCTTAAATCCCTACAGGCAAAGAGTTAAATGGCTTTTTTTTTCATGGGAGCTTTGTAACATGCACTGCACGAGGCTTGCTCTTATAATTGAAAAGCTGATGTTGCCTACAATAATGGGTTTGTGGAATTTGATCTGTTATTTCTCAAATAAAGCAATTGTGGAAGGCGTCACTCCTTTAAAAAATGATAGTAGTAATAATCAGGAAATGCAGTCAGGATTTTTCATCCACTGATTTTCCTCTCATTCCACCTGGCAGCACAATCTTCCCCTCGAAGCAGCTCATTTCATTAATACCAAGCAGCTCAAATTCATTGTGGCTCGGAGCAAGTGGCAGGTGAGTTGGCCCTAAGGTATGTGGGTTCTTTTTAGATAATTATTTGTAATTACATTAGCATCTTTAAAGTCTGTTGGGCTAAGGCAGAGAGCACAGCAGAGATCTCAGCATGGCTACGAATAGGGAATAAGCCAAGAAGCCAATGAATGTGGCAGAAATAAACTACCTGGGCTTTATTATC